TCTCTCTCTCTCTCTCTCTCTCTCTCTCTCTCTCTCTCTCTCTCTCTCTCTCTCTCGCTGTACTCAAAATATTTTTACATTCAAATCGATATATTATTACAGCTTTTAAATTGGATTACAATATGCTCATTTGTGCTTATTGTGTGTTCGTGGTTTTTTGTTTCACTTTTTTTGCCTCCATCTCTCTCTTTCTCTTCCCCTTTCCCTCTCTCACTCTCTCGTCCTTTTGCCGCCATTTACATTGAATCACACACATGCACCGAAACGCATGAATTTATTTCGATTCGATTTATGTCAATTTTAACTGACTCATGGACAAACACCGACGTTTTTCCGGCTCGACGACGAGTAAAGTGAAAAACAGCAGCAACCAAAAAAAAACGGCAAATTTCGGTGACTAATTTGAAAACTCGTGGGAGTAGTTTGTCAATATGGTTGAATGGTATTGAAATTGCAATAGGATTTATCTTGAAATGTGATTCGAAGGCATTTTATAAATGAGTTCCCATTCGGTCACACGAGCCTGTGTTTCTCATACGTGATTCATGACACATTTGAATCAATTTCGGGTGATACGCATTGAATGGAAATTGATTCCTCATCATTTTTGTGTCACATTAAGAATCTCTTTCAATTGAAGATTTTTCGAAATGAGTTTTTTTTTGTAAGCGTTCAAATGTTATTTGGATTCATTAGCGTATTAATTTTTTTTGGCACTCAACAATAAGTTCCATTCGTTTTCTTCTGACTAAAAACCTTGTTGACGTCAATTTTTGGAAATTGATCCCCAATAAACCGTGAGTATTGAAAACAAATTGCTTGAATATTCAGAGTTGATAGCTCAACTTTCCAAAAACAACAATGAAGACAAGACGAATTTCGGAATCTAAATCAAACGTCATGAGGTTTCCGCTGTGGTTCAAAGTGAAACGATTTCCATGTACGTTGTTATTTGGAATTTGTTTTCAATTTCGGTAGAAGAATTTTGAGAGAGAGAGAGAGAGAGAGAGAGAGAGTTCGATATGATGTTTGATATATATTTTTGTGGTTTCGTTCAATCATCAACATTTCGGCCATGAACCCAATCCGATTATAACATTTCATATTCTTTTTCAATTGATTCATTTTTCCTTGGTCGAACTGTGAATGTTTCCATAGAATAAAATTTGTAACGACTTTATTCTATTTTTTTGTGATTGAGCAAAAGAGAATCGTTGAGGTGTGTTTCAATGGCACATTTCAACCGCTGATAAATGCGATTCTAAATGATATATTAATGTGTTTGATATGGTAAAAAGTATGTGTGTGTGTGTGTGTGAAATGTATGAGAGGGATGTTTCACTTTCGGAGTATGTGTCGATGACTCTCAAATTCGACTGTGTTATTATTATGCATTTGTGATCAATAAAACATTGCGAAATTTATTCAAAAACCCAAATTACTTCGATACTTCAAAATTAAATAATTAATTTGACATTTTCAAATGGCTTTTTTCGTGCATGCTCTCTTTACGCTCTCCATTTCTTTCACTCTCTCGCACAACTGGACGAAACAAAACGAAAAAAAATTACAAATTGTTTGTTTGTAATCGAATTTTATAAATGCGATTCCATAAATTTGAAGCCATCATTAAAAAATAATGACAATAAAACAATCAATTAAATACGCATTCATGTAATCGTTCAACAACATTTTTTTGTATTTCCTGTAGCTCTTCTTCTATCTCTCGCACTCTCTCTGGCCACTGTATCCTCTCATTTCGCTATATCGTTTTGTAATTGCAGGAATACAAAAAAACATTCGTTAGTGAATTAATTATATAAATTCGAGGCTTGGTTTTATTCATCCCCGCTCTCAATTTACGCTCTTTTTAATTGCTAACACTTTCCTACGCGGCAATTTTTGGTAGTGGTAGTTGTTGTTTCAGTTTCAATTGTTGTCATTATAAGTTCATCATCCTTCCCAATGATAACTAACAATAAAAAGTTTATAAGTTATGAATCAACTCATGATTTTGCATTAAATGTGGATGGGTGGTGTTTGTGTGTATGTTTCCCCGGATTTTTTATCCATATCATTCGTTAATTAGCTTAAATTCAACTCTAATTATTTATTTTTTCCACTAGCAGTTGTGTGTGTATTATGCGTTAATTCCCATAATGCTGGTTTATCAGGTTTCGGTTATTATGTTTTATTACATTCAGTTTTACTGGTACAAGTACTTCATTTTTTTCCCCCAAGCAAATTGTACAGTTTTACAAATTGTGTTAAATACAAATCGTTTTCAAATATATATGAGTACGGAAGACCTCTTATTTACACTTAAAATGTTTCACTAGTGTTGCCATTCGAGTTTGTTTTCACCCCGATATTGTAGCAATATGATGATTTCTCTATGCAACAGTTATGTTTCTATTAAGCAAATTTAGCACACGCACGATCATACAGATGGGCGGACTATTTGATTAAGATTAATTAATCTTAATCAAACACCTAAAATTCGCGATGATTAATACGACCACTTAATCACTTAATCGCTATTAATCATGATTAAGTGATTGTGCAATTGATTAATTAATCATCGATGATGATTAAGTTGTTGTCTTAATCACGATGTCACCTTGATTAACTGTGACAACTTAATCATGATTAACTGTGACAACTTAATCATGATTAAGTAAATTCTTAATCATGATTAAGATGTGATTAACGAAATGATTGTGTAGAATTAATTAATCATGATTAAGTAAATTTACTTAATCATGATTGTGTAAATAGTTAATCATGATTAAGATGTGATTAACGAAATGATTGTGGAAAATGGGAATCATTTTCAACATTTCTGCATTTATGGCGTCTAATGATTAATTAAATCTACACAATCATTTCGTTAATCACATCTTAATCATGATTAAGAATTTACTTAATCATGATTAACTATTTACTTAATCATGATTAAGTTGTCACAGTTAATCACGGTGACATCGTGATTAAGACAACAACTTAATCATCATCGATGATTAATTAATCAATTGCACAATCACTTAATCATGATTAATAGCGATTAAGTGATTAAGTGCCATCTTAATCATCCGAAAAATGATTGTGCAAGTGATTAAGTAATCGCAAAACGCCCACCTGTACACGATCATCATAAGTTTCACAAGGAAAACCAAAATTTAACAATATTCCTTGCGCACTTGAGAAACCCACACAGAAATAGAAAAAAATCGGAAACAAAAAACTTATTTTGTTTGTTTGTTTTCATTTTCAGGATGATGAAGCCAATTTTCGAGAGTCACAAACAAACGTTATCGACTAGACTGTTTTCGAGTTGTTTCGATTTGAATTATGCATGATTTTTCTAATAGCTAGTGCACTTATCCAATTAACTAACTTGGCCCATACACACACACAGAACGCTCGAAGCACTGCCGGATACATAGCTAAAAGCTTTTGAGCACTAAATTCATTGTAAAATATTGAATAAAATTCCAAAATGCGTTGGCTAAACCGAAGCTGTTTCGTTGGTTCGGTCGTTCGGTCATAAATGAATGTATGTTGAGTTTAACGAAACCAAATATAGAACTAATTAATCAATAGACTAGTGATATTAGCGATTACATTGGCCTCAGCTCAATTAACATTGATCACTGTGGTAATGGACACTATAAATATCATCGAATTATATCGAAGCCATTGATACGGGATTAGCTGGGCATTGGAGAGAAAGAAAAAAAATGATAATATTCGCAGCCAAAATAAAATAAATTCAATGGACTTTGTACTACTTGCGACCACAGACCATGTTAACAATTAATGCGATCCTATACACACGCTCGCTTAGCACGACGCCTTGCATTACGCTCCCTCCCATCCCATTTATGGGCATTTTTGAGAGAGTATTTTGTAATTTATGTAAATTACTAATACACGGCTCTACGCCCCTTAAATTATTGCCATCGCACTACGAAGAAGCTATGTGAAAATGTACGCCAGTCAGACAGCCAACCCGAAATTGATTTGAACCACAGTCGAAACAATGAAAATTACAGAGAACTCATATCGAAAATTGCGAGCCAGAGCAATAGATAGAACGGAATTATTTTAATTTTATTTTCAACGAAACTCCATTCAAAATTCACATGAATTTATGGCGGGAAAATGTTTAATGTTGATAACGCAATGGCTGTAAAAAATGAAAATAAAAAACAAAACTTTTTTTGGTCGGCACATTTCACATTTTGTATCTGCACAGTTTCAGTTGTGCAATAGTTTCGAAGGTTATTATTTGGTGTGTTCAATGTTGGTGTTTGTATTTTTCAATCAAAACCATGCAAAATACGAGAATTATTTGTTTTTGATGTGAATATTTTGGTTGCATCTATTTCGAAAATATATGCAGATTCAGATTGATTGGCCTTGCCGGATCATCGGCTTAAATGTTTTATGAACAATGGGGTTTTGATTGGAATCGTTGTATAACCGCTTGATCTAACCTCGACACAGAATTGTGATAAATTTACTAAAAGCACCGAGTAACCAGGATTTGGTTTGTAATTTTGAAATTAGCCCAGCGAATAAGGTAACGCTCCTCTCTAAATAAATAGAACAACAGATATACTTTTAATCGATGGATTCCATTAGCATATTTAAAGTCATGTTTTGTGTGCGCTTTACCGCTATTTTAATGGGCAAATCAAAATCAATTGGAAAAAAATGGCGTTGAACCAGTTTTCATCCAGTGTGGACGTGTATCCATTTTTCCGTGCTGAAATGTAATATGCAGACAGAGAATAAATATACATTGTTTGACGTTGGCCACATGTTTGTTGACACAAATGCTCTTTTTCAAACGGTTCTCCTCCCCCCCCCCCTTACATACAGAAAAAGCGTCAACATTCCGGAAACGTATCTTTGGAATGGCTAGAGAACACCACTTTTACAGTTTGTTGAAACTATTTCGAAAGAGATGCACAAAAAAACGCCGAACATTTTTCTGTGCAGAATTATAAAAAAAAGGAAAAGAATTAGCACCAGTGGAAATAAAATCATATTTATCATTTTTGCGAATGTGTTTTTTTGTTCGTCTGTTTCTTCCCGAGGACGCGATGAAACAAAATGCGAGCAAAGGAACGTCAGAGAATTAGATTTGCATACAAAGTTTGGCTCTGGCTTTTGCGTATCATGATTGTGTGTTGTGTGCAAGCACGGATACATAAACAACACTGAAAAACGTTGCATATCAAACGACATGACCGCTATTACATACACTTCATATATGGCTTTTGCGTAACATTACAACTGGCATGAGAGTAAAAGAGCAAGAACGCAGCAAGGGAAAAAAAAGAATGGGAATCAGAACGAATCAACCTAATTTTCGGAACACATAGCAAAATTAAAATGCAAACAACAACAACAACAAAAAGTTCTTGTTGAAAAAAAAGCGCGGCGTTAGTTGTGTTCACTACCATAAATTGCGCTTATCGGCAATGACATTTTGCAAATTTGTTAACGTTGTTTTTTGTCGCGCTCATTCTCTCTTTTCCTCTGATTCTCTCCCCTTCGCCCTCTCTTCCTCTTACTCTCTCTATTGCTTTAGATCCGAAAAAAGCTGAATATGCCCGGGAGCCATTGCAAACGGCCTCAACTAACGCAGTCGGAAAAAAATGCGCTTGTTTCCTGTCGCGAGACAATTTTTATGCAACTGAAAATATGAATGGCAAAAAGAAAAAATTTAATCTGACCGACACACTCACAAAAAAAATATATGTGTCAAATCGCTTGGATAAATCGCTTTCAAGATCATGTTGTACCGTCATAATTTTGTGCAAACAACCAGATAAATGCCTATTTTGTGTCCGTTTCACGCATTCAAATTGGCCGCAGCAAATCATCCACGAAACTTATGTTCAACTGTATCATTACATAAAGTGCACTTAATTCAATTTAATCAAATTGATTTGAGAGTTTGTTTGTCGTGCTTTGTCATGCGGCCGTTTTGACAGATTGAATTTGTGTTTGTCTCGAAAGTTGAGCTTTTAACGTTGGCTTCTAATTGAGCAATGCTCCATGAGCTTCTTGGCCTTCCATTGAATTCATCCTGATCGAAATCTGCCATATAATTAAATTTATGTAAATCATATAACACATTTTTGCCGTACAATTACGTTACCGAATGACTGACAACCAAAAATCATGGAAATACTTAAATTTTGAAGTCGAATGACCTTTGTACACATATATATCCGTTCGGTTTTCACTCACTCCCATTTTCATCCCACACGTGTTGTCGTGTCAGAGTGAAAATGTTACGCTTAATTTCATTCAATATGTACAAATGTGAAGTGAAACGAACGTTCACTTCCGCTAATAATTTTTGACACGATACGTTTTTTGTATGTTTGCGGCGCTTTGCACCAATTCGAATAACATATATTTATATTTCCATCTAAAAAATATTTCACATTCATCAACAATATTTGCCTTTACACATTTAGTTGCTTGTTTGTTTGTTGTTTTTATTTAAAATGTTTGTTAGTCAATTAGTTAGGATTTAATAATTTGTTTTTGAGTGTTGGGGAATAGTTTGTTTTATATATTATAATAATTTTCGAACAAGATATATGATGCCATTTTACACATTCTAATTTCATGGAGTAAATTTTACTGGTGTTTTTTTCTCACTTTGTTTTTTCGTTTTGCGATGCTGACATTTTGAATTTGGAATAAATGCATATGACTTGTGTATAGTAAATTTAATAAATTTGGATCAGAACGATATTCCGGAATGTTTTGAATGATTTTTTTCTGTGTAGGATTCATTTAAAATGTGCTATGTACAGAGAATTTTATGTTTTCAAATAGTTTTTTTGTTGTTCATTTTTGAGCACCGTTCACGTTTGTTTCGAATGCAGGAAAACTAGTTTGCGTGGTGTTATTTTGCTTCATCCACGTATGAAACGAAAGCGTTGACAGTCGAGTCGCATCAGTCGTGTGTATGTATGACGATGACGACGACGACGATTACAATGCCGACAATAGAATGACCAGCATACAGATTGATAAAATGGCAATGTCACCGAGATTCGTTGTTGATTTGACACTACTGCTTGGATAAAGGAACCAGCCTGGTCGATTTGATGACGACATATCACCTGAATTCGCATGCGATGTTCGCGATTTATCCACTCCATTTGGACCATTGTTGCCATTCGTTGAGCCCAGACTTCCCGCACCACTGCCACCGCCGCCGACATTCGCACCAGATGCTCGACCATTCGGACCTTGTGTAAATACTACATGAATATGCGTATAAAATTGGCATATCGATTTTCATTGTTTCATTCAATTGATACGACAATACATTTATCAAATTCAAGCGTAGAATCGCACACGCCAACGAGATATTGTATCGTGGATGACCCGAAAGGAAAATGGTAAAACAAGAAACAAAAATTGCATGCAAAAATTGAAAGCACAAAACGAATCGAATCAGCGCACGCCCGCTCGCTCACATACACACAATTCACCACGATCAGCAAAACCGATGGCTATCAAGGGCTTTTATCTAACTGGAGGACAACACGCGTTTATTTAATTAACGATCATAAATTAAAATTTAATTAGATTGCGACGGGCGGCAACTAGAAAATTGCGATAACACCATTTGTGTATTGTGTGTGTGTGTGTGTGTTGTGTGTGTCGGGTGAATAAAAACCGTTTTTCTGCTGACTATTGTGACACACATATTCTAACCATGAACAGAAATCGTTTTCACCATTTCTATTGAAATGTAATCGAGTCGAAGCAAAAAGTGCACATTGCTTTCGGTCAATGGCAGAAATTCAATTAATACAGACTTGGTAGCATCGTCGTATACGATGTGACATGAACCATTTTAATCGCATTTTTTTTCTCGATTGGGTCGTCAAGGCCATTTTGACATGTTCGTTTCTCTTAAATTTGGTGAATTTGTGATTTTCGAAAAGTTTTCGTTTACCAGCCACATGTAAACAGTTTAAATTCGAATATGCGTCGAATTGCAAACAAATTTCGGAACATGTAAACGCAAATCGCATTTCAAAAGAGAAGAAGAAGAAGAAAATGGTGAAAATAATTTTCGGGGAAATACAGTCCTCTAGCGATAATTGTAATGCAGCAATAAACAATAAAATGCAAACTGCTGAAAGAGTGTGAGCGGAAGGAAAAAGAAAAGAAAAAAAATGGGGTAAAATCCATTAAAGCAGCAAAATCGACAATAATGGCATAATTGAACGTTATGTTGCATGGGAAGAATCTAACAGTATTGTCGGTTGAAATTTGCTTCAAATGAAATTAAGCAAATAAACGGACAATCGGATGCCGTGTTCGGATTGTGTGGCACGCAAGTGAGCAAGCGACCGAATGCTAGAAAACAATTTGCCGACGTTCGGTTTTATTTCTCGTTTTTTGTTCTTCAGTTTTTATTGTAATCGGTACATACCTTCGATTGAGCCACCAGCAGCTGCTCCAACAATCTCGTTTTCTTGTAAATTGTTTGGTTGTAATATTTCTTTAACACGGTTGGATGTGTCATGACCTTTATGGTTATGACTTTGGTGTTGTTTGCGCCGTGGCGGCTTCGCCGTTGTATACACGTACGGTGTTGGTGTTGTTGTTGTTACGGGCCGCGTTATGAGTTTCAGCTCTGTCAAATGCAAATAAACAAAAGTGCAATTAAATTTATGTAAACCTGGACTGGCTTCTTTTTCTATCGACGACGACGAGAATGACGATGACAATGACAACAACAACGACAGTGTTAAGGCAACATAGGAACAAGGTAACGTGCAGAAAATTGCCCCAAAAACAGTATGGGCCATTCAACACTTCCGATGAAAGGCATTCCTGTGTGTTTGTGTATGCTGTTTGCAATCGCAAAACAATACATAATGCTCGCTTGACTATGCCACCGAGTCATGTTTCAAGCGCAGTTTTCCTCCCTCTCTCTTTTTCTTGCTTGCAGTCGTCCTGCTTATAATTATATAGATTTATGGATATAAAAAGTTTTAAAATCTGGCAAACAATAAAATTCCAATAAAAGCACGCTGATATAAAATTTTCAATTAAAATTACAACTCCCCCCCCCCCCTATCTCACCCATGCAAAATTGCACACACACACGGAGAACAGAGCAGCATATTCCGCAATGAGAACGAGCAGCAACTTTATGACGTTCATTAAGCAAATAAACAACATTCGTCAGAAGAAAGTGTTTGGGAAATCTCTTTATTTCCGCTTCACAGTGCTGCTGCTGCTGCTGCTACTACTACTACTGCTGCTATTCGCGTTGAGATTTCTTGTAAATGACTTTTAATTAACAATACTTCGATGAACGGGGTTTGTCATCGTCAATCGATAGAGTGGAAAAGCTCTTGCCAATTTCATTGATCAGGGCAATAAAACGTATTCAATTCCATTTCAATTGTTATGTGATTCTTATATGGAACACAGACACCAAAATAGTTATGATTGCAGCAAAAGGACTAATTTGGAATGGATGAAGACATTCGTAGCACACTTACCTTGCAGCCGAATGCGAGCATCTTGTTTGCCCAACGCATTCACGCTCGTGCACGTATATTCGCCAAAATCATTTTTCTGTAGATTCTTTATGGTTAAATTCAACTGCCACGTGTAACTATTCATCAATCGCTCTGTGATGACGTATTTTGAACCATCGTGCAACTTGATACTCCCTGTTGGAGAGAAATGCCAACCAAAATGTGAGAAAAAAAACCATTTAAGCTGGAAAATACTCCAAATAAAAACCAAATTGTTTGAATTGAATGAAAATGTTTGCCGCTAAACAACAATCGATACACGCAGAGAAGAAAAGGACAACAAAACATCGGCAAACATACTTAATGCATGGGTTCAAATAAAGTACACAGCTGAAAATAGAAAAAAAACTGGCCAAACAAAAGCATCAGCGCAAACTTTGCAATTGAAAGACAAAGAATGAGACAGAGAAAGAGAAAAATTAGTCGGCATAATGTCTTGGATGTCTTCTTACCGTCGTTTTTATACCAACCGTTCAACGGTTTCGGAAATACTTCAACAGTGCATTCCAATAGAACGTGACTCTCGACGGGCGCTCCAACAACATGATTAACAGCTTTTACGCTCGGTGGAACTGGTTACGTTTTTGGAGAGAAAAAGAGAAATAAATTTAAAAAAAAATGTCGCACATAAAACCGAAACAGAGAATCGAGAAAAAAAAGCGGATATACACCACACTAGACTGCTCCAAAAAAAAAGTTGGTCGCTTATAAAAAATGCCGTCCAGTTCCGAAAAATATACCTCAAAATATACCTTTTTTTGGAGCAGTCTAACACCACACCATCAAAACCCATAATTGCTCTTGTAAACGAAGTAAATAGGCGCCGAATTTGCACGGAAAATTGAGTCAAGACAGAAGGGACGGCGTGCGCGCGAGCCCACAACAACACAACCGCTCGCTTCATATTAATGAAGAGAAAAATTCAGTCATGTAGAAAAAAGTAGAACGAACTCACGCCGAAATTGTGCTCTTTCGATGCCCATTTTATTAACACAAGATAAAGTAATTTTCGTTTTTTTTTCTCGGCAAACGGCAACAACATCGAAAAAATCTGCTATGATTTTTTTAACCCACATTTATTGTTGTTGCTGCTGCTGCTGAATAGCAGAAACATTAGTTTCGTTTCATTTCGTTTTTTTCCTTCGTTTTCTTCCGTTTTTTCATTTGTTCGTGACGCGGTAATACAATTGTTATGATTCCATCATTTAAAGTGAGCCATTGAGAAAATTGTGAAATTAAAACGAGGGTAAACATTGCACACAAATTAAATTTCGGTCGATCAAATGACCGAGCCAGGGATGAGAGAGAGAAAAAAAAATATCATGTGCTCTAATTGTAATGAGTCATGGTCAACGGTTAACTATGATGTGGAGTGTGTTTATGACTTTGGCCATTTGTCGGCCGCTGATCACACAGCGAACATAATTACACTTTGTTCATTCTTGTGATGGGACCAAACAGCGAAAAGAGAAAAAAAACTCGGAACCAAAAACATCGCAAGAAGAAAAATCACACTTTTTCCCGTATTTTACTGTTTTCAAGCAGAAGCGACCGAAGGTTTCGAAGGTAATTTCATTTCATTTACTTTAGCAATTAGGAATGATTTATGGCCTTGTTTGAGCAGAGATCAAGAGCGACGCAGTAGAAAAATGTCGGTATAAATCGAAATAAATTCGTGTTTAGTCATTATTTGTTCTGATTTAAATCCGATTGATCTTTTGGGAGAACGGGATGCTTAAATCCAGTGATTTGAGTCGACTTTGTAACAACTTTTTCCACGCCGTGCACACATACCGATGGTAAACAGTAGCAGCTCAAATGTTTTCTCAGTTTTTTTTTTCTTGGCTCTGGTTAAATTCGAATATAAGATTGTTGCTAGAATACAATACACGTTTCACTGCTCGCATCACCGCGTCTACATTTCATTTCCACAAATAAAATACCGGCAAATACTTCTATCAAACTTACACTGGCTATAAGCTGACAAGCATAAAAAGTCTCTTGGTTTTGATTGTGGCGTTACACCATCATAAAAATGTACTAAATTCAATTTATATTTTATTTCACTATAAACGCAAATCACACGACATAAATTCGTATACTTACAATTCACTTGAACGTCGTATCGCTTGCTGACGGTTGGCGGAACTCCATTCGATGCGCTGTATATACACGTACATCCAATTGCCCAAATTAGTTAGATATAATAGTGCAAAGTGCAAATAATAAATGCGAGTAAGTATATGGGAATAATATTGGAGTGGTTTGCAAAAATAATGCTGCCGAAATAGTTCTTTCAATGGGTGTATAAAAGTTGTAACAAATGCCAGCGACAGACGGCTTTGTGTCCAAAATGGATTTGTTAGTAAGCTTTGATATTTATGGTCATGTCCAGAGAATATTTAAATAGTTGAATTATTAAAAATAAATTTGCTTGAAAAAAAGTTCGGTCCAGTTTGGAAAGCGAAGACTTTTCGCTTCACCGAAAGGCGTATGCAAGCAAGAAATCTCGCTGTCCGAAAAGAGACAACTATTTGACCAGGCGAAAAATGTCGGGACAACGAATGAAAACGGTTTCTCATGAACCACTCTAATGCACAACGATATTAAATATATAGTTACACTTACATGCACATATAACCGCCCATATCCGTTCGTTGCACTTGATGCAGCACCAACCTACTGCCATCGACGTGCTTAACATCTTCATTGTCCATTGTCGGAGCACAGAGAATAAGAAGTGAAATCACATTGAACATTAGTCGTTATTTCGAAATTGGCATTCATTTTATGGGTGCATGCTTTTAATTTGTCTTCATCACTCGCATGGAATTAAAGTCACTCGTTGTGTGTGAGTTTGTGTGTTGAGAGAGAAAGTTCATATTAATAAGAAATTATTGTCAATGGGAAACAAATGAAATTATTTGTCAATATCATCGATTCAATTAGATGTTGTAAGTGGTTTTGTTTGTGTTTATGTATATGTGTATGTGGTACGGGTGTTACATAAATTCCTCTTCAGCATGTTGCATTGTAAAATGGGAATGAAGAAATACAGCGGGAAGATGGGAAAAAAGAACGACAATAAGAAAAACATCAAGTAAAAACCCATGGGACAATCTGATGCGCACCATCCAGTTCTTGTGTATGTTTGTCTTTTTCGTAGTCCAACTGACAGAGAGCTTGAGCTAGAGAGAGAGAGAGTGAGTTTTGTATCAAAATCACGATGATCACGAGATATGCATGTGAACCAGAATAAATCTTCGAGCAGATTAAGCTAATGCGAATGAAAAGCAATAAAACAAATAGCATTTATCTCGCACATAATACGTTTTTTAAAAAAAGGAGCAGCCCAAAGACACCACTCGATTCCGATTTTCTCGTACTCTCACTCTATCCACCCACCCTCTCCAAATCGTTCTCTGCTTCTATTTGGTTTCAATTTCCCATTCAGTCATTGTTGCAACAGAGACATACACTCACTCACACATATTGGTTTAGATTACAATTTCTCTGCCGCCCTTAACTCGATACCATACTCGACGAAGTAAACAGAAAGAGAGAATCTTTTTCGCTTCTTCTTCCCTAATATATGTATATATATATATATTGAGATAAATATATTGGCTTAGTAAATAAAATATCTGGCATATTTACATTGTTTATCGCGTCCTTCGCTACGTAAAACAATATCTTTGCCACCTTCACGTCTCCAGGTCGTCTGTATGGTTTATTGCGGTTGGTGATTTCCAAATGAAATCAGATTACCGTGGTCGACACAATTTGTGCATGTAAAGAGATATACAAAAGATACAGAGAGTTAGAGGATAGAGAGGGAAAGAAAAAACTGAAGAAGATATAGACCAAAAATACACGAGGTTCACTTGAAATGGAAAAAAATAATGAAAATCGTACGATTGAGGCCCATTCGTTCGTTTGGATCGCGTGCTCATTGCTCACATCGTGCACACCGCATCTCAAGCGCGCGCGCGCGCACACACACAAAACCAGTGTTTGCCGAACGAAAACTGGTTCGGCGTGTGGTGCCACAGGAGCAACATATAAAACATAAATTCCCAGTTTAAGATAAATCAGAATTCAATTTAAAATAATTTATATGTGTCCTAACGTTGCTCTTGGTCGTGGTGGTGGTTGTTTTTTTTTTGTCCTCTGCTCGCTTCGACTTCGTTGTGCACACCCGAGAGCAATAAACAGAAGATATCGTTTTCATTCTGACTAAACATTTTAAAACTGAACAAGTCAAATAAAGAGGGCAAAAACACGAAGAAGCCGAAATTTCCAAAACATAGGCTTGTTGAACAAATTGCACCGTTCGATCGCTTACCGTTGGCTCTGGAACGCCAGTTGCAATACACACTAATTGAATTTGGCCGCCTTCATTGGTGACACTTTCATCTAGGCTACTTCCATTGGTATCAGCCTCGTTTAGAATGTCTGGCGGAACAACGACATTCAAATGGCCCCACTGCAGTGTGTGACATCGTTTCGGTTGGTTTTGTGTTGATGGACAAATGGAATGATGAAAATATGCAGGAAGCATAGAGATCGAGAAGAAGATGAAAAAATGGACGAAAAAGAAGAAGAAAAAGGAGAAGAAAGATTAGATAAAAGCAAATTAAAATAAATGGCTGAAAAATCAATCGTCGTAGAATGTAGAAAACGGGTTGTTCACTTGTGTGTGTATGTCGGTCGTTATCAAATCTGTTGCAATCGGTGTGTGCCGTTGCCATTTCTCTTTATCTCGTATCGGTGTCGTCGTGACGCATCGTCGTCGAAAAATAAAGGGATAGGTGGAGAGAGAGAGAGGCAGCACAAAATCTCTAATGAATAGTTTCGTCGCAATGAATACGATGTTGAACGCATACTGAAACTTTAATATGATAACACAATGGTATGAATGGGGTTGAAGGAAGGAAGCATCAGACATCAGGCTACCAACCAATGTTGGCGATGGCTCTCTCACGCAACCAGATTGGAGATGTGTAATAATTGAAATGAGCATGTGTATGGAATATGTGATTGCAAGTAGGACATTGTTTTTCCTATCACTCTCGACGAATGAGAAATATGCGAGTGCAACTGAAATTGCAGTCGACGACGACGACAACGACGTTGAGAAGATGTGTGTATGAAATGCTTCAACGCCAATTCACAATCGGTTTGCATATACTGTAAAAATACGGCACGTAAACGATATGTGTGCGGTAGAGAAAGAGAGTATGGGAATCGAATATGTGAGGGAAAAGGTTCATTCAAAATCTGATGCATCTTACGACACCGTCGCCGTCGTCGTTCTTTCTGCACGTTATCTCTCCTCACCCCATTCAGAAGTTGAAAAAATTAAAATTCAACGTGCATTGAACATTCGCCTTATTATATCTATGATTTTATACTTAATATTAACGCACATGCCTAATATGCAATTTTGTGCATTATGTGTATGCGCTCTTGACCGATTTCTGTGGAAAAAATCACACACATCGTTCCACATGTTAACATCGGCACACCGGAAATGCCGAACGAATGATTCGACTACGAATGGAAATAGAAATTGAAAGAAGAACGGCAACGGACCACGAATTCAAAATCATTGCATATGATTTTTTCGCCCATTCCATAATCTTCCTATGAGTTATTATTTTTATTTTCTGTAAGGTCTTTCGGGTGAAATTACTATCCTCGTTGATATAATGAGATACTCACCTGACTTCGCATCGGATCCGTGTTCACTGTGTGTGTGTGTGTTTGTGTAAGGGATAGAACAAAGGATTAAATTGAGCATTTTACGTTTTCGGCTATATAAGACAAATGGGATAACACAGACGATAGAATAACAATAACATACCTTGACACATATACGATCCAGAGTCGTGTAGCTGAACGTGTGATATGTGCAATTTCCACGTATTGTGACCGTTGTGTGTTACGGATAGACGTGGATTCAGTGCAACCATTAGTGTGTGTATTGCTAAAATTGCCTTTGAATCCGATTTTATCCAAGCCACCTGGAAAATGAAACGCATCATCATAAAATGGTTCGCATAACAATAATAATTTCAAAGTCTCTCTCTCTCTCTCTCTCGCTCTGTGTTGGTGCAGTGTTTCGCCCTTTGTATATTCGATTCGCTTTCGGGGAGGTTTCTCTCCAAATCTGGGTAACTCGGCAAAGCCAAAGAGAATCGCTCGCGCACAATAAATATTTTAACACCCATTAAAAGCGATTACAACATCGAAACTCGAAGTTTTGGTTGGAAAAACTTTGCTCATTCGCAATGCTTTCTCTCTGTGTGAACGCTGCCACCGCTTGTGTGTCATTTTTGCGCTTCGAAAAGTGTTGAGGCTAACCAAACCAAAAGCATAATTGTTTGAAAATGGGAAAATGGACGGCGAGCTTAAGATAAAGAGAGATAGAGAGAGGAGGGGGGAGAGTGCTAATGTTAGCTAACAACAATTGCTAAAACACAATTGCAAGAGAACGGAGTTTCGCCACAAGGCATAATTTATCAAATGAAAAGAATTTTCGCCACAAAAGAATATATCCCAACGAAACATTAAATTAAAATAGAAAGATATTACAAATGAAAATGGTGCTCATTCTCTCAGCTCATTCGCTCGATTTCGTTTTATCTATTTTACACGTTTTTATACACTGTGTGTATATATCTAGGGGATTCATGCCAAATTTTATTTAGCAAAATCTATTTGTATTATTTAAATCATGTAAAATTCACGCTAGATTTCAAATATTTTGTATTATTTCCCGAATGCGTTGTTATTGTTCATATTCACCTTGAACAATATGTTCTGGAAGTGGGTTTTGGTGGATCTTCAGGATCGTTCAAAACTGCTCCCGGTTCTGGAAGTGGGTTTTGGTGGATCTTCAGGATGGATCAGACTGGGTTTGACAATGCCCTGGCCCATCCTGAGGATCCACTTCCAGAACCAGGAGCGGTTTTGAACAATCCACAGGATCCACCAAAACCCATTTCCAGAATTTTTGAAGCGATAATGACGTCAACAGATTGGACATGGTTCTGCTGACAGTCGGTTTATTGAACAAAATTGAGCAAAATTGAAATTATGCATACATATCTGTTTAATATGTTGAAACATAAACCAATTCATATTATTTGTTCATATTTTAAATATGGAAATTGGCGTGAGTCCCCTAGGTATATATTTTATGCAGGCCTTTGTTTCTCAGCCGAGATGCGTTTACTTGCTGACGTGAAATGTAGAAAACGGGCTTTCAATTGTTTTATTTAAACAGTTTATGTCCGTTATCACTTCATAAATATATAGGACTGGCGACAATTTATGATTGAGAAGAAAAATAAAACTGGAGGAACGGAGAAAAAGTTTAAGTGATTCCACCATTGAATCACTGATTTTCTATGGTTTTATACGTTTGTATTTGCCGTCATTTACGAGAGACGACACTATCAAGATGTTCAGAAATGACATTCAGGCGAAAAGTTGTTGGAGATTTTTCGAAATGCCCACAGAGAGACCGATGGAGAGGGAGAGAGGAAGAGAGATAGAGGAGAGAAAGTGGAAGAGAAAGCAACACTCAAAGTGGGAACCCAGAAAAATTTTCGCCAACTCAACAGAACATTTCAATAAATTAAGAAAAAAGCTTTACTAGACTTTGTCTCTATGAAATGTTCTCAAGTGGCCTTTTAGCCAAGTTAGGTGCAACAAACCGTTTAGGTAACAAATGGAGTGACCAAAAATGGCCATCATCTCGCCACTTCAACAAAACAGACTTTTAACACAAAACCAAACAGCACATTGTTCTTCTAAAAATGCAACACAGAGAAAAAAAACGAACTTTCGAGAATATTTTACTGTCGCTTCAAGAAGTTGCTTTAATCATTTCAAAAGAAGAAGGAAAAAACGTGCAGAAATCTTGACGAGCTCTTTTAATGAAGAAAATTAAATGGATTTTGTTTGTGTAGGTTTCAAAGAGTGTTCCCGCAGGTGATGTGTCTGCTGTGATACAGTATGGGAATACAATGCTCATTTTAAATTTGCCGCTTCGTCGTCGTTCGAGCAAGAACATGAATCTAGTACTGCAGTTTCCAGTCTGAAACGGACGGATTGTCATTTCTGACGTGTGAATGCGGAGCGTCAGTTTAGTTTTGACATGTATTTACAGTACACAGCTGCTTGTGGCCCATAACTAAAATTAGATTTATTTGTGTGCGCACGGTGTATTGTGTGCGATCGTCGGATTCGCCGGTCTCTGCGAGACAAAAATCATACGAAAAAAAAAAACACATTAAGCGCCGTGAATAAATCTAAATTTAAACCAAGAGCAAAACAGTAAGAATAGACGAAGCATCGATTGCGGTCGGTTGCCGTTGTGTGTGGTTCTTTTTTGAATCATTTCATTTTTAGCTTGGTCTTGTTAGTTTTCTCTCTGTGTGTTTGATTAAAGAAAAGAAATCATATTTTTTATCTGATTTTCTGCCTTATTTTACAGTTTTGTAGCTGTGTATTCAACGCAGATTCGGAAAATGTATCATTTTCTCCATTGAAAATCGCAAAAGTAAGACATTTTATCGAATATGTGAAAAAAAAAAATTGCAAACATTCGTCAAATGTGGAAAAAGTATTTTTTGTCTATTGTATGGAACAAGTGAAAAAGAAAAGCGCATTTAGAACTTTTGGACGTGTGCGATATTGTGAAATTCCCAATTCAATTCAAGCAAGACTCAATGAACTTGACTCAAGTTACTTGAGAAAAAAAAAGATTGATTTATGCATCCATTTAAGTGTATAACAGCAAAATAAATGCAATCAATACAGTCAGGGTGATAAGACTCAAGTGCTAAACTATTTTGGGCTTAGCGCTTTTTCGTGATTAATTCGTTTCGTCAGCGCTTAATGAGTTGCATTCACTATTCCAAATTCCACGATCCGATAATAACGAGATAAAAAAATAAGTGTTTGATAAGCTATTCAGAAGCGCTATGTCTATGAAACGATTGGTTTAAAACGGGGAGAAAAAAATTCATAATGATAATTTGATTTGTGCATATTTTTCCAATTCATTGGAGTAAAACTCCAATCATCATTCTCTCTCTGCTTCTATTCTCTTGGCAATTATTTTCATTATGTAATTTATTTCTGCACGCGTTCCGTCGCCTTATGGTTGCTTGATGCTCGTGTCTGTATTTGTACAAAAAAGTACGTAAAACAACGTTAGTTTTTGGTTGGGCAAAACAATGTCGTGAGAGTAAGAGTGAGACTGAGTGTAAGAGCGAAAGCGCGAGATCGAAGAAACTGTAGCAAAATCGGGTGAAAAAGCAATATTTGCGTTCAATTTTTTTTTTCATTCTATGGTCGACTATGTATGTTAAAGCAACATGTTCGGTGTTGGTTAGTGTGTTTTGTACTCGTTTAGTCTCTTTGTTCCGTGACTCGTTGTGCACGCATATATGTGATTATTATTATTGTGGAATAGTTATTTATAAATAAAACGGCGGGCATTTTGATCACAGCAACAGCAACAACAATGACAGCAGTGGCAATAATAAAAAAAAAACAACCATCACTTTCCACTTTTCCTGCGAGTGTGTCGTCCATGTGACGTGTATCTCTCGCGTCGAATATTTTTCGCTTGATTTTCATTTGTTTGTATCAATTAGATGTGTGTCTGTTTTTCTGGTTTGTTTATTTGAATCAATCGTTTTGATACGCGCACCGTAAGCGAGTGGTTTTCAGAGAATGTTCAGGAAGCCGTACATACAATGCGTACGGCATTTTGCATTCTCATGCAAGAATAGCCATTGAAAATATATATCAATTTACAGTCCGTTCGCATTTTGGAATGGCAACAAGCCTGAATAAAGTCGCGGGAATCTCTTCATCACTCACAATGACATATTCGTTTTTCATTTTCCGAGCAATTGCCTGTTCTGTCTCTCTGTACCATTCACACAGTAGCAGCAGTCGCAACAAAAGCTGCCGCACGTTCGGTAAAAAATTTATGTGAACCAATGGACACACCGAGAGAAAGATAGAGTAATTCACACAGACTGTTTGACATTGCAATGCAGTATGCCTCTTTAAGCCATTGTATTTAACGATATTATTCCGCACATCACAAACTAAACTACTGAAAAACGATACACCGACGAGACCGACAAGTATATCGCTTTTCGTTCGAATGTTCTGAAGTGTGAAGTGAATTTAATTCAATTAATACGGTCGGCAATCATTGAATTCAAGAATATTTTATTATATAAACATAAGTGGAAGAGAAAGAGAATTGTTATTATCAACGCGGTGGTAATTGAGGCGTGTACAAAATAATAAATGGCTATTTAAATTCAATTTTGCAGGTATTGTCTCTCTCACTCACACTCACTTGTACTGATCGAGCGAAATTCAACAAAGAGCAAATATTTAATTCGATAAATATTTGAAAACCAAAGCGAACGACGACGACGAAATTTTGCAGTACAAAATGGATCCAGAGGCATTTTTGGATATGGCCAATCAGGTCATTAAATTGAAAATGTTCCCGTATTTTGACATTGCTCACAGTTTGTTGTGTGCATTAGCGGTGCGAGAAGATTTAGGTCCTGGAGCGATTGCATTCTCACGAAAACATCCATTGGCTTGCTGGTTGTCAACGATGTTGGTCATTTTTGCTGGTGGTATGGTGGCTAACGGGCTATTGGGCGAACCCGTTTTGGCACCTCTTAAGAACTCACCACAATTGTACGTAGCCACAATTGTATGGTATATCGTCTTTTATACACCACTCGATATTGGATACCAGGTTTGATTTTTTACGTCTTTGAAAAAGAGCTCTTTTTTGAATAAATGAAAAATAACGCTTTGATTCGAATCGTAATGGTGCACCAGTATGATACGAATAGAAAAGCAACATATAGATTCATTTTGCAACTCTTTAACTATCTCAAACTATCTATACATAGTTTCCAATGAAATAAATGCATTATCATTTTCAAAGGTTGCCAAATTTTTGCCCGTCAAAGTGATTGCATGCGCCATGAAGGAAATTTATCGATGCAAGAAGGTAATTGCAAAGCCACCTATCCCATTAAACAATCATGTGCATCTGTGTTTTGACACTGGTTTATATGTATAAATGTTCGAAATTAGATTCATGACGGAGTATCACATGCCGCAAAATTGTATCCAAATGCTTATGTTATCATGATAATCATTGGAACGTTGAAGGGAAATGGTGCCGGATTTACGAAATTAATCGAACGATTGATTCGTGGTGCTTGGACACCGACTGCAATGGAATTTATGCAACCAACATTGTGAGTAGATGCCCGTTTCTTCTCTTTTGTTCAACACGTTACACGTATACATCTAACGAAATACATTTTGAATACCATTTTCCAGCTACACAAAAGCATCTGTTGTTGCATCAATCATTTTTGTATTGGACAAAAAGACCGAATTAATTTCGGCACCGCATGCATTGGTGTACTTCGGCATTGTCATTTTCTTGGTTTACTTTAAATTGTCGTCGATTTTATTGGGCATTCACGATCCATTTGTGCCATTTGAAAACTTATCGTGTGCTCTATTCTTCGGCGGTATCTGGGACAGTTTGGCCAAAATTGTGGGACGTGGCCAAGCCAAAGAAGAACCAAAAGATGCAAAGAAATTGAACTAATCCGTTTCCGATCCACTATTTATCCAGTTTTAAGTTACCTTCCACCTAGTCACCAAACAACACACACGCTTGACACAGAAACGGTTTTTCCTTCTTCATTGGACGAGCAGCTATCACCATTTCATTTTAAAATTTACACAACATAATTTGACGAAAATTGGTTTACAAAACCAAGAACAAAGCATAATCGACAAACCAAAAAGAGAAGCTTAATGCTTTCAAACTACGTTTCACATTGAGCTAATAAGCGCGAAATATTCTGTTGATGCTAAACATACTGTGGGTGGTATTTAGTTTGGCATTGTATTCACAATATTTCGACTGTATGCAGCTACGGACACACAAAAATTCATTTTGACCAAGTATTACATAAGTTTCATATGACGACTCTTCAATTCGCAAAACTTGTTTCTCTGTTGTTTTTGACGATTGAATTGAATTCTTTTTAAGCATCGCCCGCCTTAAGTGTGAACAATTTTACAGGCAAACTTAGCGATATGTATCATGAAGCACACAAGAGCTACCATACGTATAACACGAAAAATATGTTCAACTTATGACTTTAAATTTAGTGATTAAAAATAAAAATTTTGTGTTTTTTTTACGATTGATAACAACAAAAGACGAAGTTTTTTATTCATTTTAATCATATCATATCGAATAAAAACTTGGAAAATAGGACCCATCAATAAGTGGAACAATTTTGGGTTTCATTTTGATATTATTACAGCGGAATCCATCAATTTTTGATTAATTGAATCAAGTACTACTTTCGTAAGTATGCAACGGATCGATGAATAATAATGGACAGATAAGTAGCTTTGAGTGTAAGAGCAAATGTGAATCTGCAACTCGATTGAAACAATTTTAACGCATTATCAATGTGGATAATGTGTTTGAAGTACTTGCACATATCGAGTTAAGCACAGAGTAATCTGGTGTATTGCAATGCATTCCATGAATTTATGAGCGTTATTGTTTTATTCACGTCGAAAATTCCCAGTATATACAGTTACATGCGGCTTTATGATGGAAATTTATTCGCTATGATATGAATGCAATCAATAAATGGGAGCGTAATTGAAAAACTCCAGGGAAAACTACTCCAGTTACAAAATGAACTTTTCAATTTCATGCAATTTCTTGCCATAACAATTATTGCTGCATTTTCCATTGCCGTAGTTGTTGCCGTGTTAGGAACAAGTTAAAATATTTTCATGGATGAATCCAAGGTTGTTCGATAAGTTTTCGATGCAAAAAAAATACCCGTAAAATGACGATCACATATTTATGCGCATTTTTCTCAGCTTTACAATTCAAGCGACGTTTATTTTCGTCCAAATGATCGTGTACATTACAGATAAAGCGATATAAATTTATGATAATGAATGTTTGTCTCGACAAATGATACATTTTATGCAAACAAATTGGCCAAGTGAACGAAAATTAAAATGCCAAATTTTTCTATCTCGTTTGACTTGCTTGCAAATAAGTGATTCGGTGTTGTGACAGCAATTTATTTCACGTAGAAAAAAAACAGTCAGCAACAAAGTAAACAACATAATAAAATCCATTTTATACAAATTGTTTCATGGAGTGGAAAGACTAAATTTCCACTTAAAATGCATAACGAAAAGAAAAGAAAAAAAAACGTATCAATGAATTGAGCATTTTACGTTTGCATTACATTTCATGAGAGTCAAATAATTACTTTAAAATTCTGTGTGAGAATCAAGCAATTCAAATAGACTTTGCTGATGCAAAGAATGCTTAAATCCGGTAATTTATTGCATTCACTTGATGCTGACTTTATACGTTCCATTGCATCTCTCATTTTGATACGGGAATGATATTTTATGGTCGACGAACGCCATAGTCTCACAACGGAATCTCAATCAAACGAAGAAAATGAAACCGAGCGGAGAGAATATTGTCGAGATGAATGTTGTGCAAATTGATGTCAACTCACCCTATAGTGTCCTAAATCATTTACAACACATGTAAATGAAACGTCACGTCCTTGAGTCACTGTAAAATCCAAAAGTCGCAAGATTTGGTAATGTTGTTAGAAAAGTACAAATACATCATCAAATACACAAAAACCAAACAAACCTGTAAAATTATCTAGCGGAGCGAGGAACTCCGGTTGCGGTTCTGTCTGCTGGATGCTTGTGCCTGCGTGTGGATTTTGTTTGTTGATGTGTGCGTGTGCGTGTGCGTGTGGAGGGAAGAAAAGTAAAATGACATGAGATGAGACACACACAAAAATGAACGTATTCTACGGAGAAACGGAGAGAAGACACGCCGCGGTATGTGATAAAGATTATACCATTTTGATACAAGTATTTTATGTCTTTACTGCAAGAAATGCCAGGCCGATGGAGCGAAAGACAGAGAGACAAGGGAGTATACAGGTGTTGCGGGATGAGAGCGAAAAAAAAAATTGAATTTGAATGGAATAATGTTTCACAGGAAATTAAGGTGCTTAATTTCTCAGATTCTTCATCAAGATGCTTGAATTATTCACAAAGCGTTGCGGACAGATTCTACCTAGAATGAGAAATCACTTAACACAGGTATTTCGCTTTTATCTTTCCGGTGAAACCGTTTTTTCGCCTTTCTCTTTCTCTTTCTTTCTCTCTCTCTCTCCCTCTCTTGCTTTCATTCATCCACTCAAAACAATTTGAACAGTTTCGGCATTTCCCATGCATTAAAACATTCTCCCTCTCGACGATGCGAAGTAGAAAAAAAAACTATTATATAATAATAGCAGCCCAAATATTTCCACTATGCTGCTGCATTTTTTCTGTTCATCATCGTCGTCGTAGTCGTCGTCGTTACTTGCATCATTCATAAAAAAACTTAACCCAAGAGCTTATATTAAGTTAAGTGTTTCTACATACAGTACATGACATCCTCAAAGCAAAAACGCAATCCATCTTCATTTCGTTTGGCATGGAAATGTAACTAGACGATATTAACGACCGAATGATGACAGAATAAAAACAAATATTTTGCTAAGTAGGTACAAGTTTTGTCGAAATTTTCTTGTTAAACTCAACTTTGTTCGTAATTAACTTCGACCAAAGTTGTGGAAAACGTTATGTAAAAATGTGTGAATTTCTCGCATTTTTTGCAGCTGTGTGTCATGAAAAAAATCGGATGCAAAAGTAACATTAAATCCAAATCTCTTAATTCCCCCTTTGCTGCGGCGATGTCATGTACGAATTCCCCAAATCAACATTTATGCATATTAAGTTAACCGTTTAATCCGAACGGCAGAAATTGCATTTTTCCTACAGATAATTCATGCACATTCTACAAGCGAAAAAGAAGAATTCATTTGAAATGTGTGCAAGTATATTAAAAACTTACCCTGAATAAGTAAAGTGCTGCATACGAATTGGAGTAATATTTTTAAGTAGAATTTCTTGAAGAGCTTAACGTTTGCCATATTGTATTATGTATGATTCCTGGAACGATTTTTCAATAATAATCGGTTTATTAACGTTGGAGTAGAGTAAATGTGCGTATATATACATGTATTAAAAATCAGTGCACTATGATGAGTTGATGACGTTCAATGTTCAGTATGGAAACAATGTGGAATAATCAAAATAGCATCGTTGATGGGCTGGCAATGGTATAATGTAGAAAATTTGCATATATTTTCCGAAGTGTTGTGCGTGTTTCGATGCGAGTTCTGACTGCCAACTCCAAAGCCAGCCGATACGCAATTTTTCATTCATCTGTTGTTGGTCTTTTGCTGTTTGTTCGTTCATTGACATGCATACAGACTAACAACTTTTTGAATATATTGATACAGCACAGTGTCGTATAACAAAAACGGCAAATAAATGGGCATTAAATTAATTAAAGGATATTCGCAATGCTCGAAATATTGGGAAAGGCAAAAGATACATACGGAGAAAGATGGACCAAAAAACAACGGGGGATTGAGAGGAGAAAAAGAAAAACATAGCGTGATAGAGAGAACGAGTAAAGAGTGCTAGAGAATTCTTTGACCGATTCGATGTCGCGCGAAAAATGTCTGCAAAGTTTGATGCCGATTCCAAATGTATGCAAGTCGTGTGCCAAATTTCGTGTGTGTGTGTGTGTATGAGTCGACGATGAAGCAATAAATGGAATTCAGAATGCGAAAATTAAAACAACTAAATTACAAATTGGACGCTTGTTTTGGTTTCGACTGGCTGAATGAAGAAACAAAAGACACACATTACAACGTTATTAGCATCTATAAGCCAATTTGAGTTTCGATCAATATGAAAAATTAGAAACGATGCCTTTTTCAATCGAACGTCGCACGTGTCCTTTGCTTTGATGCCCCGGCGACTAATCAATTGAATTAAATTAGCAGACAAAGCATCGATATTAAAATTTGCTACTCTTTTTAAACAGATTTGATGATTCTACTAAGGTTCATGGTCCAAGGGAGTGTTGTTGTTTGGAGCTAGACGCTGAATCAGCGTTGATGGTTCAAAATTGGAATATTAGACTCTTTAATTATTGATTAATTAGGGAAAAATGTTGTGCATTTTTAAACGACGATAGAAGAGGGTATTTTATATCGTTTTCGATCTATTATCAAAAGTTGAATTATGATGAAAATAAAAGCAATCCTTGGAAAATAAAAGGTAAGCTTGACAAATTTTTCGGCAAATTAAATTTAATTGGAATGCCGAATCCATATGCTCACTTGCATTGTCCACATCAAAGTGGCGGGCGATACAAAGAGAAAGAAGAAGAAAATTGTGGTGAAAGCAGTTTTAATTTGATTATGTTGTCGCTAAAAAATACACGCTAATCCAATTGAAATCGATATAACTCGCTTGCTTTTCGTACGACAATTTTCTGCACATTGAAAACTTTGATGCTGCTACTGTTGCTGATACCGCTGCACACAGATTTCACGCTCAATAGCAACGCCATGGAGCGGTGTATGTATGTGGCCGTATGAGACGCTTTACACAAACAGAAAATAACAATAATTTAACTAGTTTAAAAACAAACTTAAAGCACAGCGCTCAGCATCAGAAAAAAACGGGAAAACTTCGACACAAACTTTCCGGACAGAAAACTCTGTCTTGTGTTTCATATCTGTGTTTCTCTCTCTCTCTCTCGCTCTTTCTGTCCTGTGTGCTCTTGCTGTAACAGCAATGCTGTTGTACGCTCTCCACAGCTCAATTTCACTGCTCAGTCGTGTTTATTCGTTGTGCATTTCATTTTTTTCCCTCTTTCTTGTGCCTTTTTGATTTGGTCGTTGCCGTTGTCGCTTCTCCAGTGTGAGACGTGCAAAATAGAAAAATACCCAGATGTTTATTTGAAATAAATAATACTTATTGTTAGTAATTTTTTTTTTCCTTCGCTGCTCTTGGTTTAAATTCCTCTTTTTCAAAAGTTTTGCTTGGGATGGCGTGCACGCGTTCATTTCTTCTTCAACAGTAGCAGCGGCAACAATGTTTTACAAAGTACACACTGTTCGTGTCAATTTAGTCGTTTCAGCTTCCGTTTGCTATTGGAATCTTATTTTGCCGCGCGCTGCTCCGTTTCTGTCCTTCAGTTCTTTTTTCCTCGTACTTCACTTTCTTAAATAAAGCGGCGAAATTATGTTCTTGCATTGAAAATATTGTTTCGGGTAGTTTGCGTCTTTCTGTTTTTCCGTGTGCGATATGCTGTTCTTATGACTGTCATGTGTTCTCTTGTTGCATTTCGTTGTGTCCCCACAGAAAGCGAACGAAAGACTACGCAGCAACAATTGCTCTCCGCTTTTTATGGAAAAACTTTTGCATAACTGCATCATATTGCAAATTGTTTGGCGACGACGACGACATCGACGCGCGCGCTCCACAATAAACGAATAATAATATTTTGGCTTTGCGTCAAACGTGCCTTTTTCAAACCAATTTTTAATTTCATCGAATTTTAATTCGTTTTCAAGAAGAACTTCTTCAGCGAACGAGCGCGAGCGCGAGCGCTGGAGACATAAATTTGACGGACTCAATTTTAAAAAGCAAGTAAGTGGCAACAAAGCAGAGAAATAAAAGATTCAGCCATACTAATTTTATCATTGAATTCCTGGGCAAAATAACAATGGCGTCGATTATTATTATTTCTGAAAATGGAACAAGTGATTGTTATCCAAATCCTTTGCATGGAAGCTGTGGCTGTAGCTGTTGCTCTTGTTATTTCTGATGCTCTTTCCAAGCCAAGTTGGATTTAGTGAACTGCACGGAGCTTGAGTAGGATGGCGAGAAGCATGTGAGTTTAATATTGGCAAAATCCGATGTCGATAATTATGAAATTTTATACACACAGCCCGAGCCAATAGAGAGTCATAAAATTAAATGCGATTTTCCGTTTATTTGGATGTTATTATGTTGACTTCGTCAGAAAAGCTGTTGGAGTTTTTTTTTCCCTACCGTTTTGAGCTTCTTACTTGTGCTGCAAGCACGGTGAAAATGCGCTTGGGCGTTCAAATCGATTTCACTGGAAAATGAGTTTTAACCGAGAGATAGAGCAGCAAACGCAGCAAAATACCATGGAAATCACCGAGTTTGAGGTAAATAAGAAGAGCTTTCAACTACAAAACGACGACAACGTGGTTATTTTTGGCAAACAAACAACACTTGTGCTCCCTTTGCGTTCTTCCAATCCATGCAGCAGCAAAGCATTTCGGACGCACACACACACACACACACACACACACTCACACCGGATTCAATCCGATTTTCGTAGCATTTGGCGTTCACTTATACACATACACACACACAAAGCGAAAACTGATGCTGAAGCACTTTTAACTATTTCTAATAATAATTAATGGATTTAATAATAATAAAACCTCTTAACATTCTGCTTACTTTCACTTGGCATTAAAGCCCATTTTCGTTTTGGCAGCAGTCGCAGCGAGCTGTTTGGTTTTCACGGTATTTCCCTTATTATTTAAGCCATTCTCTCTTTTGCATTCTCTTTCATTCGCTCTCTATTGCTCGCCGCCACGCCAATGAGCACAGCACAAAGTACAATACAATGCGATAAATGGCTCAAAATGCACGGTGAGAAAGGCAGAGTGAAGGAGAGTGTGAAAGAGTTAGTTGGGAAACTTTTAGTAAATATCGCAATAAAGATTATCGTCTCAAATTTATAAATATATTCCATGGTGTGTGTATAGTATATATGTGTTGACTTTAGGCGAAGGTGTCAAACAAACATCGAAGTTTTCGCATAATTATCAACGCCTTACCGTCATCGTCGTCATCGTCGTTGAAAAATTCATTTCAAATGGAAATAATAATCGACGGAAACGTTCTTTGGTTTTAATTATGAAGCAATTTTTTCTCTCTCGGTGAATACGGAAAATGACTTCATTTCACAATGCCACGATGGCATTTTGAAAATTCAAATTGTTTTAGTCATTAGACAAACTGAAACGTTTTGGGATTATAAGATCGGAATGCTCGAAAACGGAATGACCTTATTTATGGATGAAAGATCGTTTGTTGTGCCAATTTGAAGAGGGCACATGATGCCTTGTTAGCTCCTAATTAGACGTATCCGACAGTAAAACGTGGCACTTTACGTAAAACGTGGCATTTTTCCGGACATGAATTACATGGTTTTTTCTTCTACACTCTACACAGACACTCATTGATTTCCGAGTTTAAAATGGTCTTAAATTCCCGAATAGAGGCACACTTTCCGTTGACTTGGCAACAAAAATCATAACAAAGTCAGATCGAATAAATTCATAGCTTCGGCTTAAGTTTTCGTACCACAATTCTTGAATTGTTTTACTTAATCTTGGCTCCAGCACAAACAGATTTTCTCCCCTTGTGCCAATGTGTACATATTTCATTTAATTCACAGAATGTAATTTACAGAAGCAACAGGATTACCGAGAAACAATGAACCAATTTTATTTTGTGTGTTTAGTTGTGTGTTGGTTGGTTTTATCTCGGACAAATTTGATTCGTGCATTCGAATTTCATTGGTGTCTGAGTACGGTATATATAAGAGTTTTAAGCTTAAAATCCATTTGTATTCTTGATAGTTTGTCGAAATCGTATATCAGACGGCTTGAATATTCATTTCCTTTGTCATTTGTAACGCAAAAGAGGACAGAAAGAGTGGAAAATGGGGGAGAAAGAGAGAGAGAGAAGTGCGTGTATGTGGATAAAAAAAAGTGGATTCCATTGAGCCGAGCCAGACACATCAAACGTTTATTTGCCATAATCAAATCTATAAAATCCTCATTCAATCGAATGGAATTCCCTTCGTCACATTTGCAATGCTGTTGCGTGCAACACAGCATACGGGGTGGCCATCGTCCGACGTCGACGACGGCATGACGTTTCAACATCATTGACGAACGACTTGATGCAAAAAGTCAACGACGACCACGAATGAATCGGGTGTTGAGAGTAAGTCTCTCATCAAATCGCACTCGGCCGGC